TGGCCTTTGCCAGTAAATGGATGGAAATGGAGAAAATCATGCTAACTCAGAAAACAGGCAGACATATGTTTTTTTCTCACATGCAGAAGCTGGAGCAAAATAATTGAAAGACAGTGGTGGGAAAGAGGACTGGATATCATCATGATATATGAAAGATTATTGTAGTAGATGTAGGAAAATGATGGGGAGGAAGGGAAAGAGAAACATAAAAAGATGAATTTAACAAAATCATGTTATATACACATATAAAGATACTAAGGGAATTTCTTATGCACAAGTAGAAGAAAGGGAAATTTAACAGAGTTGAGGAGAAAGAATTGGGGGAGAAAGAAAAAAAAAGAACAGATGGAACTTGAAATCAAATTCCTTGCATGTATGCTTTTGTCAAAATAAACCTAATTAATATGTATAATTATGATGCCTTCATAAACAATTTTTTAAAAAAGAATATCCCTTCCTGTCTTTTATCTATCAGACTAGTTTCCTTTAATGTAGTGAGCAAAAAACATATTCTTTCTGCTTGTCATCAAAGTAAGGCATCAATTCACCCCAGTTATTCTATATGTTTTATGGATACTCACAGAAACTTTAACTAGTAAACATTTTAATCTCCAAGTAACATGTCAATTATCATATTAGAAAACCCTTTCGGTGAGTAGAAGAGAAGCAGTGTAGCTGAGTACAATAAATACACCTTCTGGAAATTTTTATATATATGATACATGCAAGCCTACTAATACTACCAAGGTAGGAAGAAAAATTTGGTTTGTTCAACTATTGGTATGTCCTAAGAAATATTTCCAGAATATTTTTCCCCAATCACTTACAGTGTCCTTATCTTGAGCAAATATATCTAGGCAATTCCCTTTTACCTGAATTTTTTCTGGGAACATTGACCACAAATTTTTTCCTTGATATAATAGCCAGTTTCAGTTGTGCCACAAAAACGTGTCTTGATTTCATAAAAAGTTTGCTGTAGGCAGGTTCTGGGTGTGGGGCTTGGCAAAAATAATTGGCCAAACTTTATGCCAGCTGTGAAACAGTTTATCTTTAAGCTTTCTCTGTGAATACCTTGGGAGAGAAATTTAGGCCTTGCTCTAAAAATGATGAACTTGGAAGAGTGAATAATACTGAGTTTCAGGCAGAGCAGATCATAGATGGATGGCTTCATACTGCTAAGTGCCACTTTTGTCAGAACTAAGGTGCACTGTATGAAGACTGCTGTGCTTGTTAGTTTTTTAATGCTGTGGCTTACAGCCTAATTAACAATTTAGAGAAATGAAAGTTTCTTTGGGCTCATGGATTCAAAGCTTCAGTCTATAATGGGCTGACTCTATTTCTCTGGACCTAGAGTGAATCAGAATATCTGGGTGGACGTGCATTGTGGGGAAAATCTGCTTACCTAATGACGGCCAGGAAGCATAGGGTGAGCAGGCAAAGCCAGGAACAAAATATATAATTCCTAGAGTATGCCCCTAGTGACACACTTACTTTAATCAGGCTCCATGTGTCTATGGTTACCATCCAGTACAGTATACTCTTAAATTATCAAACCATCAACTGCATTAATGCACTGATTAGGTTATAGTTTTTATAATTTAACAATTTTACCTCTTAGTATTTCTGTATTAACAGAGGATTCTTTGGAGCACAAACTATATCTAAACCATAATACTCCTTTTCTAACCCTCCTAATGCTAATTTGCATCATAACAAGGCAAAACATTTTGCCCACCTTCAAGAGTCCCCACAGTAAGAATACTTCCAGGATTGCCCAAAAGTTTAGGTTCAAAGCATATTTGGAGACTGGAGGTGAATTCTTGGCCATGAGGCCTTTTAAAAATCAAAAGCAAAATATACACATCCAATATATAATGTCACAGTGTACAAAATCCCACTTCAAAAGACATGGATATAGACATAGAAAAAAGGAATGTGATCAAAATAAGACCTAAATCCAGTGGGGGAAAACATTAGGTATAGTAGCACCAAATCTAGCATCTGGGGTACATTGGCAATGAAACATGCTCTCGAAAGGACTCAGGTACCCCATCCCTGTGACTTTGTTGCAGCTTATATGCCTCTCCCTTAGGCTGGCTTTGTCTGCAGCCAATAGTTTTCATTGGTACATATTCCATGTGCCATGCTAAATCTGGAACAACTCCACTGCAGCACTGTCTCCCTTCTCACACTTCCATCTGTCATACTTGCAAGATTTTCACCCTGGTATGTTTTTCCTGACCTTCAAGGGTTTCTTTGGAAATCTTGATGGAAGCTCTAGGGACCTTTAACTCCAGCATCCTGCATTCCTTCAGAAAAGGAAGCCTATTGGTGAGGCCAAGGTCTGTTTCCCAGCTTGTGCAGCAGTAGCTATGTGTTCTTGGACCACAGCTGCAAAGGACTTTTGAAAGCCTGGGCAGTTGAGCATGTTGAAATGAATCCTGAGATTCATTTCAGCATCCCTATGCAGTACAGTGCTCCAAAGGTCTTTTTTATTTTTATTTTTTCTCATTTGTGAAGTAGTCAATATATTTATTTTTTGAACAATTCCCATGTTTAAAGGTATTTCCACATAAAATTACAGTATATGTTTTCAGCATACACAAACTATGAAACACATATACAACAGATAGATTGATATAGAAAATGTGGCATATATACACAATGGAGTATTACTGGGCTCTTAAGATGAATTTATGATATTTGCCAGTAAATGGATGGATGTGGAAATCATCAAGCTAAGAGAAATAAGACAGTCCCACAAAACCAAAGTCAAAAATATTTGCTGATAGGTGGAATATAATCCACAATAAATAGGGGATAGAAATTCAGTAGATTAGAAAAAGAGAAATTAAGGGAAGGTTAGGAAAAAGAAAGTGGAATGAATCTGAAAATTTTTTTTGAGAGAGAGAGAGAGAATTTTAATATTTTTCTTTTTCAGTTTTCAGTGGACACAACATCTTTGTTTGTATGTGGTGCTGAGGATCAAACCCGGGCTGCACGCATGCCAGGGAGCACGCTACCACTTGAATCACATCCCCAGACCCCTGGCAAAATTTTTTAATGTACACATATAAATATATAGTGAATCCCACTATCATGTAGACCCACAAGAATGAAGTCATAATTAGAGTAAGATATATTCCATGCTTGTATAATTATATCTCATGGTCTCTTAAAGGTGTTTTCACTTCTACAATCTTTGTCCTTCAGTGGGTGTGGCCTTGCTGATTGCTGAGATGTCCTCAAAGCACATTTTCTAGGTTCTCTGAGCAAGATATTAGCCTCCTTTTTTAAAACAACACTAATCTCTTCAGAAATAAAACTTCACTTTACATATATTTTTATGGCCATATTGCAAAACTTAAAAAAAATTCTGCTCTGCTTTCTGCTTCTGATTCTCAAATAAACCTTATTAAAATCTTTCAGAAACACCTAGGCCATCTATTGAATATTGTGCTGCATTGAAATATCCTCCACCAGGATAATTAGTCCATCAACATTAAAGTTATCCTCAAAGAGAGTCTCAAGATATGGGCAAAATGTCAAAAAATTCTTTGCCAGAATGCAACACAAATGCTCTTGTCCAAGATTTATGTTGTAATTCAGTGATATAGAATTTTGGGGCTTAATCCCAAGCACCACACATAAAAAAATTTAAAGTTGGATGACCTAAAGATCCAGAAATGCCAGCACTAAATGAACAATTAAATCAGCCAATTGAAGAGATACCTCTGCTTTTGTGTTTAGTGCAAACATTGTTCTTAATATTCAAGACAGGGACTCAATATATGTGCCCATCAATGATTAAATGAGTATAAATATTGTACTTATATACTATTATCATTTAGTTATATAAAATATTTTGTCTCTTAAAGTGTTATAAGAAATATATGCAGGACTTTGCATTAAGTAAAATATGGCAGGCAGAGAGTCAGTTGCAGGAGCTTTTGATTCACATGTGGAAGTCAAAAATTTAATCAGTAAAATTTTGCTCACCAGGTACTGTGTTTTGTGTAGGGCTGACATTGTTAGTCAAAGTCTCCATATTTTTATTTTAGTGGGCATAAGAGGGTGAAGAGTTTTGTTTACCACATGGTGAGTGTAGTGTATTATGTTCTTCATAAATACCAATAGAAGGAATACAATACCTTGTAAGTACAAAACTGATAATTATATAAAATAGTGCATGTGTTGAATCATTTTAGTCATTTTACCTTGTATAAATAGTATAAGATACCATAATGTATGTAGTAAATACATAAAGTTGTATTTTCATTAAAAGAAATCATCATATCACACAAATTTAAAACTATAAAAATCAATTTATTATTCTTGATTGCCATATTTTGATTTCATCAAAGTATTATGGCCATAGGCTATGCAAGGTTTTTATAGTCTTTTAAATAGGTTTTTAGGGAAAATTTTATAGCATATATGTGTATAATTCTTAGTAAAATTTTTGTTCATATTTTTTTAAGAGTCCATAACCACTCTAACCTTTTGGAATATTTATGGTATTATCACCCAAAATCTATCAGTTATTTTTATGTCTCTATATCATGGTAGATAAAAACCAGTTTTCAGACACTCTTTAAAAAAGCCACAGATGTTTATATATGTTTTACATTTTCCTTATTCTACTGAGAGTGAAGGTAACTGGTAGATATTTACTAAATACAGAATGCTACCTTATGGAGGACAAAAGTCTGTGGATGATAAAAGTAACATACTTTCCTTCTCTCTATTGTATTACTCTACTTAGTGATGTACTACTCTTGGATACTGTGGTCTCTTCAAAAATTTGGGTAATATTCCCAAGGTAATTTTGTCTATACATTTTTATTGAACTGATATATTTCTGGATTAATGATAACTTTGGATTTACTAATCTGCTACACTCCTGATGTACTTATTTTACCTTAACTTCATGTTGTGTATGCAAATATATTTATCCCAATCTAGTATGTAATTTTTTTAAAATTTTTTGTTTACTTCAGCCATGACTACTCATCACAACGAAGAATATTCACCAGAAAAGGGCATAAAACATATATTTCACAAAGTGATAAGTGGGAACTATAGAATTTTTTATCTTGACTATTTACAAGAAAAGAAAATATGGAAAACTATATGTGAGAGTAAACATCAGAAATTATATCAAAAATCAGGCCTTGTTCACCTCCAAAGAATTTATACCGGAGAGAAGCCCTACAAACATAAACAATGTGGCAAAGCTTTTAGTAAAAAAAAAAGTCTTATTTACCACAGAAGAACCCATGCTGGAGAGATGTCCTACCAATGGGCAGAATGTGATAAAGTTTTTAAAGAAAAATCAATCTTTATTAAGCAAAGCAGAATTCACACTGAAAAGAAGACCTACAAATGTAAAGTATGTGGTAAAGCTTTTACTCAAATATCAACCCTTATTTGCCACAACAGAACTCACACTGGAGAGAAGCCCTACAAATGTAAAGAATGTGGAAAAGCTTTTAGTCAAAAAACACACCTTATTTGCCACAATAGAACTCACACTGGAGAGAAGCCCTACAAATGTAAAGAATGTGGAAAAGCTTTTAGTCGAAAAACACACCTTATTTGCCACAACAGAACTCACACTGGAGAGAAGCCCTACAAATGTAAAGAATGTGGAAAAGCTTTTAATAAAAAAGCAGGCCTTATTTGCCACAACAGAACTCATACTGGAGAGAAGCCCTACAAATGTAAAGAATGTGGAAAAGCTTTTAGTCAAAAAGCCAGCCTTATTTGCCACAACGGAACTCACATTGGAGAGAAGGCCTACAAATGTAAAGAGTGTGGCAAAGCTTTTAGTCACAAAACAAGCCTTATTTGTCACAAAAGAACTCACAGTGAAGAGAAGGCCTACAAATGCAAAGTATGTGACAAAGTTTTTACTCAAATATCACACCTTATTTGCCACAGCAGAACTCACACGGGAGAGAAGCCCTACAAATGTAATGAATGTGGCAAAGCTTTTACTCAAAAAACACACCTTATTCACCACAACAGAACTCACACTGGAGAGAAGCCCTACAAATGTAAAGAATGTGGAAAAGCTTTTAGTCAAAAAACAGGCCTTATTCGCCACAGGAGAACTCACACTGGAGAGAAGCCCTACAAATGTAAGGAATGTGGAAAAGCCTTTAGTCAAAAAACAGGCCTTATTTACCACAATAGAACTCACACTGGAGAGAAGCTCTACAAATGTAAAGAGTGTGGCAAAGCTTTTAATAAAAAATCTGGCCTTATTTGCCACAACAGATCTCACACTAGAGAGATGGCCTACAAATGTAAAGAATGTGGCAAAGCCTTTAGTCAAAAAACAAGCCTTATTTGTCACAACGGAACTCACATTGAAGAGAAGGCCTACAAGTGCAAAGTATGTGACAAAGTTTTTACTCAAATATCAAATCTTATTTGTCACAGCAGAACTCACACAGGAGAGAAGCCCTACAAATGTAATGAATGTGGCAAAGCTTTTACTCAAAAAATTCACCTTGTTTACCACAGCAGAACTCACACTGGAGAGAAGCCCTACAAATGTAAAGAATGTGGAAAAGCTTTTAGTCAAAAAATACACCTTATTCGCCACAGCAGAACTCACACTGGAGAGAAGCCCTACAAATGTAAAGAATGTGGAAAAAGCTTTTAGCCAAAAAGCAGGCCTTATTTGCCACAATAGAAGTCACACTGGAGAGAAGCCCTACAAATGTAAAAAGTGTGGCAAAGCTTTTAATAAAAAATCTGGCCTTATTTGCCACAACGGAACTCACACTAGAGAGAAGGCCTACAAATGTAAAGAATGTGGCAAAGCCTTTAGTCAAAAAACAAGCCTTCCTTGCTACAGAAGAACTCACACTGGAGAGTAGCCCTCCAAATGTAAATAATGTGGCTAAGCTTTTAATCAAAAATAAAACTTTATTTACCACAACAGAAGATGCTCTGGTGAGAAACCTTAAAAATATGAAGAAAGTGATAATGCTTTTAAAGAAAAAGCAAACCTTATTAACCACAAAATTTATACAGAAAAGAACCCCTACAAATGGAAACAATGTAGCAAAGCTTTTAATAAGAAATCAAAACTTTTTCACCACTACTAGGCTATTTATTCTGCAAAGAAGACTACAAATGTAAAGAATGTAGAAACATTTTTAATTATATATCACACATTACTAGACATTCAAGAAAACACACTGGAGAGAAGCTATACAAAAAAGAACTTTGTACCATTTCTTTAAGTATGGGTCAACATTTAATCCTCTCCACAATCATCACAGCAGAGAGAAATTTTTGAAATGTGAAAATTGACAATGTGACAATGCGTCCATAAATGATTCACCAATACTCAGCACCTGAGGATATATACTGGTTAGAGAGAATACAAATGGGAAAAAAAAAAATGTTTCAAAGCCACAGTTTTCTTAAACACTACTGATATTTGGAGAATTCATTGTGCCCAGAAATCCTAAAAAGTTAAATAATATTTCCAAAACTTATTCAAATTTTCAATTCATTGAACATTTTAAAACTCATACCAGTAGTGAACATTGAACATATTTTGTCCAAAATGAATGCCTTATATAACAATAAAATGTTTACAATAAACACCTTGACAAATGTGAGAGTATAGTAAAGTCATTACCTATACATTACACCTTGATGTATATGAGGATCAGTGAAATACAGAACTAATTTAAATATAGAAAATGAGTAGTTATCTTTAACTTTTGCTTATAATCCCAGCAGCTTGGGGGCCGAGTGCACAAGAACTTTTAGTCCAAAACCAGCCTGAGCAACTTAATAAGGCCCTAAGCAACTTAGTGAGACCGTGTCTCTAAATAAAATATAAAAATGGTCTGGGAATATGGCTTAGTGATTAAGCACCCCTGCATTCAATCCCAGGTACCAAAAAAAAAAAAAAAAAAAAAAAACGGGGAGAGGGGAGGGGCTGTGAAGAAAGCCAAAGTAAAAATTTAAAAAAAGCAAGTAAACAAACAAAAAACTTACATGTTTACAACATCTAAGAAATTTAGAAAAATTCAGCAATACATACAGCAAACTCCATATTGATTTATCGAGTATACTTTGAAATAAAATGGACCTATTTACCAGTGTGGGTTTAACTGACTACAAAATTGGTAATTTAGGAGAAGTCACTTAACTTCTTTGAATATAAATTGTTTATATAATGAGAAAAATAATACCCTGAATAGTTTTAATGTTTAGTGTCTTTAAACTAATCCCTAACATACCGTAAGAGCCTAAGTTTACTTGTAATAAGACCATTCATGTTAATTATAAAGTTTTGCCAAATTTGGATGTAGCCCTGCCTGTGACTTATTAATGCCATGGCATAATTTAGATGTGAGGGTATAGATAAATAAAAATAAGGCATTTTCTATTCTCTGTTGACTTAATTCTCATTATGCAAATGCATTTGTTAAAATACTGTTTCTTGATTTTTGATCAATAACAAAGAGGAGAAAAAGATAATTAAGAGACCCTTTTCTTTAGGCTGGATATTATCTGCCTTGGTACTTATTGTGGAAAACAAATGAATCCTCTTAGGTATTCCTAAAACACATTACAAATACATATTTATCCAAATGTTTCTATACATATTGTATACCCAGATATAGTTCTTGTTCTCTTATTGGAACAATGATAATAACCTTGTATTAATAATAACTCTATATTTCTTCTGGACCACTTTCCAACTTGAGGAACATTGAATAACTTCAGTAAATATTATTATCTAACTTGAGTAAATGTTTCAAGATATGAATTATAACACTTTCCAATGAAAACACTGTAAAATGAAATCCAAGTTTCTTATGATAGCCATTGTGGTTTCAAGCTTTCAAGATGGCCCAGAAATGATCCCTGATTCTTGATATTTTATCCTTCTGTGGATCCTTCTATGTTGTGCCATGTTTGGTTTGTCTGGCCAAGAGCATACATCAGAAATGATGGTACATTGCTTCAAAAAGTTCTTTCACTTTGAAGAAGGTGACCTACTAAGTTATGAGCAGAACTGTGCAGAGGCTCACATGGAAGCAAGTAAAGTCTTGGCCCAATAACCAGTAAGGAGCTGAGGCTGCCATTACCCTTATTTGTGAGCTTAGAGTACACCCACCTGTTGATTCTTGAGATGACTGCAAATTTCTTTTGGTATTTGAGCCAGAACCACCCTGCTAGACATTTCTAGATTCTGACTCAGAGAAAGTACATGAGATGGTTAGTTATAAAATGTTATGTTTGGGGACAATTTGATATATAATTCTTCTTCTTGGGTCCTGAGTGGTAACTTGCTTGCAACAAATAATAATTTTCCCCCTGGATATCTCTAAACACCCTCTGTCTTTTATTTTACATGTTACCCTCTTTTCTCCAGAGAAAGTCAAATAATCTAATTTTGCCACATTCATGTAAAATATAATATCATGTTAAAATTTAACACCTAAAAGAACAGGGACCAGATCATCACATTCTTCACTGTATCTCCTATATTTACTCAGGGTATGACCAAAAAAAAAAAAAAAAAGACCGCCTAAATAAAAATGTGTTGACTACATGAAAATTTGAATAATTTTTTGGAAAATAAAACCAAACATATAGCTCACTTTAGGTATTAACTCTAGTGATGGAGGCCACGCATTTTTACTGTGAGCATTATGTACAAAGGATATCTTTGTTAGTGGAGATATAATCTAGTAAGTTTACTGCATACTCTCTTCTATTTAATGATAAATAGAAGATAGTGTGCAATATACTTACTAGATTTTGGCCACAATAAGACGATCATTGTAGAGAAAGAGATGCCCTTTCACCCTCTGCAGGCCTCTTTTGTGTTTTACCCATCCAGCAATCCAGTAGAGCCCTCCTGGAGCACAGAAATGATGACAACAATTCACATGTATTGTCATAGCAGAAGGAATTCCCCCATAACAGAAAAAACCCTCATATCGATTAGTCACATCAAGAATTATAGGACAAAGTTTTTATAAAATTATACCTTAGAATTGGTAAGAAAGTAAGTCTATAATATTTCTAATTCAAGAGCATTGTGTCATGAATTGATCACCTGGCCAATTTGACACACAGTCATTTTTCATACTTCATCATAAACATTTTGAAATATAAAACTTGAATTAGTTTTGTAATAAATTTTATGACATGTTTGGTTTTCAAACAATGTGTTCTGAGGTAATTTGTTTTACAGTACTTCTCAGTATCTGAATGGTTAACTCCTTTGCATGCTACTCTACTACATATGCCATCTGTCTTTTAGTATAAATCTTGGTATAACCCAAGCTAGATTCTAAAATTAAAATTTTATAGGCATCCAAGAATCTGGTCTTCAATTGATTAACTTCTTTCATTTTTGGCATTTTAGTGTGAACTGCAAAACAAAAACAAAACAAAACAAAAAAAACAGTTCATTATTCCTTAAATACTACAACATGACTATCACTAACTACAGTTCAATTTTCTTCACTTTCTATAAAAACTTACATAAAGAAACCACAAATATACAGATCTAAAGTATACATTTACCAAGATTTGGCAGATTTATTTATTTGTGTACTCTAAACTCTTATCAAAATATACGTAATTATTATCAATCCCAAAAGTTCTCTTTTTCTCCTTGTCATTAATTATTTAAACTAGCAAGAATGGTCTCCATGTGCTTGCTCCTGGATTAAATATTCATTACAGACATAAAATCATTGGGTAAAAAGTTCATGAATGAGAAATACAAATTTATTTACCACTAATTATATTAAAAATATAAATCCAAGCAGTAAAAATTTAACCACTCACAACTCACCTACTTTGGACACCTAGCATCTGATGTACAATTAAAAGAAAATGTGGTTAAGAAATCCCAAGGTGCTATTACCCTTCAGATATCTATAACCCCTGCCATACAAATAGTTATATCACCTGGAAAAATAATTCCAATAGACAACTTCTCTGACTCTCTTCTTCCCCATGAGTTCCCTCAAACTTCTCCTTTTTGGATAATCCTCTGGACAATTTCAGACTATGAGGGGTGTCATTTCTTTTCTATTATTTTTTAAATTTTAATTTAATTTAATTAATTAATTTATTTTTTAGTACTAATGATTGAACCCAAGGGCATGCTTAACCACTAAGCCACATCCCCAGCTCTTTTATTCTATCTATCTATCTATCTATCTATCTATCTACATTTTGAGACAGGGTTTCTTTAGGTTGCTTACAACTTTCCTAAGTTGCTGAGTCTGGTGTCAAAAATGTGATCCTTTTTCCTCATTCACCCAAGCTCCTAGTATTAGAGGCATGTATCACCACACCCAGTGGAACATAATTTCTTATGAAACCCTGTCCCATGATTGTATCTTCATGACTGATAAGCATCCAAATCCCCCAATTCTTTATACCAGTCCATTTCAACCCCATCACTCCAGAAACAATCAGTATTTTAGTATTAACTGATGACTTTTCTGTGCTAGAATTTTATGTAAAACATATCAGGGTTTATGTTCTTTTATATAAGATACACTTTAGTTATTCTGTTTGGTTATTCATTCATGGTACATTCATCAGTAATGCACTAAAGGACTTTACTGAATACTACTCAGTGTATAAGTAAATTTGCCAGAGTGTATTTATTTTCTTATCTGTAGACTCCAAACTAGAGTTTTTAGTTATTATGAATAAATATTACTAAATGCTATTTTTGTGACCTATGTTTTCATTTCTCTTGGGTAAAACCTCAGAGTGGAATTTTGGGGACTCAGATTTGGTGTCTATGCTTAATTTCAGAAACAAAAATAAAAAATGCCCGTATATTGGTACCATTTTTTATTCTCAGAAATTCCACATGGGATTCCCAGTTGCTGAAAAATCCTGCCCACTTGAGAGGTTTTTAACATTTTGTATTTTAGCAAACCTAATAGATGTGTAACAGTATATTACTAAGATATTAATTTGAATATCTCTGATGACTGGTTTCTTTCTCCTTCTTACTGGTATTTTGTACATCTTTATTTGTGAACTCTTTTCAAATATTTTGTCCACCTCTAGAAAATGGGATATGTTTCTTTAACATTAAGTTTAAAAGGATTTTTCATACATTGTTTACCAGATGTTTGTCAAATATTTGTTTTGGAAAATATTATCATTAGGTGAGTCAAATAAAGTGTGACTGTGGACTCTATATTTCAACTTCAAAATTCAATTTGCATCTGACTTTCATATATATATATATAGTTTTATCATACAAAATCTCACTTATTTTAGAAAAACCAAAGCAATCATATTAAAAAGAAACTGCAGTCTTAGATAGATCTGCCTTAACATACCACAGGTGTTTCATGCAAACCTCTGCTAGAAAATCTAATCTAATCTTAACATTCACCATTTGAAGAAATAAAATTTAACATACTTTCTATTTCAAACACAAGCAAATATAAGCCTTAACATTAAAACTAGATGTAATATATACAACAAATATTGGTAACGTGAACTGTCCTAAAGGACTTTTAACATTAAAAAGTAGTAAATTTTGTATTTAGTATTGCATAGGAAATTATTTTCCAATTATGAATGTTTTCACCTGGTGCTATCAAATATATTTATATTGGTATAAATACCTCAATGACATAATATAAAACATAATTTAAAAGGCCTGGAATTTTAAAACAATCCTTTTACTCTGTACAGTATTAACCTATTTTTCATTTCACAGTCAACAAAACCAAGAACATAACAGAATTCTTCTAAATAAACCAGGAATATATTAATGGCCATTCTTTACTGAAAACACTGTATTTAATATAAAAATGATATAAACTTAAAAATTAAAAGAGAGCTCAAGTGTCAAGGTAATTTAGAAGTTAAAAAGTTTCCTTTTAGAATATAGGTGGTAAAATTGGAAGATGGAACATGTGCTGGGAGGAAGACAAGAGCTCAGAAAAGGCTTTGCAGAAGATTCAGCAGATATGTGAGTCTTTCTCAGAATTATGTTTAGGACAAAGGAGTAAATTTGCAGCATAAATATGTCAGATAATGTGCAAGAAAATCATAATTTTCTTATTACAAAAATGCTTATTACAAAAATCATATCTACAGCAATGGTTCCAAAGAAGTAGTCTTTTGGTCAGGCATAAGTATTTTGACAGGAGTGGCAGTTTTGATAGTATTTTTGTGTAGTTTTACTCATAGTGAATAACCTTTACCCATTTATCCATCTTATTGGTTGGAATTAATTACAATTTAAATATCAGCTAAAAGGGCATTGAAGGCAGAAAAATATCAATGGCATTTTTAAATCACTTACATTATTTGATTTTTTCCTTTTTAAACCAATAAATCTACATAAAACTGTCTCTTCATAAATATCTGTAATCATGGTATATTAGTAGTGACTGATTTATGAAATATGCTATTATTACTTGTCTCTTCATGTAGTTATAGACTATGAATGTGCTGCTTAGCACTTAGGTATAATTTTCTATGATGTTCTCTACTTATTTTATTTCTCTATGCCACTTTTTATGCCAAGCTCCAAGTATGTGCCTTAATTACTCTGTGTATCAAGGTAAGATCCATTTCTTATTTCTGGAACTTTCTTTCAAGATCTGTGCCTAAAAGAGAATATGTACAGAATGATTATCTAGGCAGAAAAAGAAGAAAAGAAAAAAATTCTATCTACAAAATAAAGTAGATAACTCATTATTTGTATCATTTAGAAACCCACTTTTGTCTAAAACTACAGTGCTCCTAGTATATTTTAGCTTGAACTGGTTTTGAGAAACAAAATAAATTTTGGGGCCGGGGAGCTGGTGATTTTTCACAATCTCAGGAACCTAGTGAAGAATGGTGGAAATAAGTCAGTACCTTTCTTGTTTGAGGCAAATCTGATAATTTGCTCCTTATTTCTATTTTTAGAATCACAGATATACCTTTATACCCACACTGAACCACTTAACTTTTTGGAATTCTTTTGCGTTATTATTTCTCCTTCTTTTTCTCCTCCTCCTCCTCCTCCTCCTCCTCCTCCTTCTTCTTCTTCCTCTTCTTCTTCTTTTATTTTTTTTAGTTGTAGTTGGTACAATATCTTTATTTATTTATTTTTATGTGGTGCTGAGGATGGAACCCAGTACCTCACACATGCAAGGCAAGTGCTCTACCACTGAGCTATAGTCCCAGCCCCATTATTTCTTCTTAATAAAATAAAAAGGGAAGAAGAATGCTAGAAAGATAAATAATTGATTTCATACAATTTATTTCTTAAGACAAATAATTATTTTTTTTCAAAAAGTTGAAAGTTATTAGAAATAACCTAAGGCAATTTTCTCTTTTGTTCAGGACAGTACACTGTAACTCCAAGTCATCCCTCTCTAAGAATTAGGCTGTGTGCACATATATAAAAATATGTGTTAAAATGCCCCAAATGGCTTATGAAGTTTAAAATCCCAACAGGAGCTCAAATCTCTCATTTTTGTTCTTTAAAAATACAAAATCTGGAATTTGTGTACTTAAAAACATTTGCTGAACTGTAATTTAAATGACCAAAAGAAAATGAAGAAACATTGAAGGAGTTATCTACTATTAGTCATAGAGAGCTAAAATAATGAAGACATTAAATTAAATGTATTTTTCATCATTCTCAAAATGTTTCATGTTTATGTTATCAATATATTAATCAAAATTTTTATCCACTTAACAAATATCTTAGTTTTTATTTTATTATAGAAATATTAGTAATAATGGAATATCAATAATTTAATGCTCATACATGATGAAGTATGAAACATGTATTTAAAAAGCTATGGCTTTAGCTGGGTGCTATGATGCATGGGATCCCAGGAAACAAGAAGTCACAAGGCCTCCCATGTTTAACTGAGGCAAGGAAAAACAGCATGTACTTTAGTGGATTAGTAAGAGTCTTGATTTTTTTTTATTTAAAACCTATGAAGTTATTTACAAAAGAAGGAAAATCTGGAATCAGCTTTCCTAGACTCACATTGATAGCCAAATATTTTTTTTTCTTAAAGAGAGAAAAACTTTGAGCCCTTTTAAAGTATAAGTTCTCTGTATTATGTGTATTTTTGCATCATTGTAACTTGGGGAGCAAGACCTCACACATAATTCCCTTTTGAAACTCATCAGCTCTGTAGCAAAACAAGCCAGCTGGGGTCAGTAGTTCATCACGCTGTTGTTTTTTCCCCTGCCCAGAGTGTTCAGCTGCAATTAAAAATTAACACCTGAGATTAGAGTTGTAGCTCAGTGGTAGATCACTTGCTTTGCATGCATGAGGCACTGGGTTTGAAACTAAGCACCACAAAAAAATAAATAAATAAAGATATTGTATCTATATACATATGTAAATAAACAAACACCTGGGCACTGGCTTTGTAGGTTTGGTAAGAAGGCAGGTGAATGCCCAATGCCTGGCCTCCAGGTGACTGGCCTGGAAACAAGGCAAGCACCCAGGTTGACCTTGGTTTGAGAAAGGCTGTCATCATGTGGCCATTGCAGATATTTCTCACCAGTGAGCTAATGAGCCCAGACACACAGTTTGGTTTTACACTGTTCTGAGCTCTCTAAATCTTCTGTAATGATTGTTATTTTCTGCCTCCATCCAGGATGCAGGCTCACGATATTGATTAACTTCATTTGGAAGAAAAGAGTGTTCTAATGCTGCCATCCAGGTCCAAGTCTTCTCCATGGCACCTGCCAGGCCTTCTGTGAGCCTCCTTGAAAGTGGGCAGTGATACACTGACAAATACACAAGGGGCTGAAACACCATTCCTGTTTGTATAGTTTTGGGTTGAGGAGTACTAGCACAAATGACACACACATGACAAAAGTGGGAGAAGGGAACCTCACATCAGCAAGATTTTCTTTATTCAGTATTCAATGGTGAATTCAATCAGTCACCTGGCATGACTTATTATTGGGGCAGAAAATGGCGGTGGGTTAAATAAGGGTCTGGGTTATATGTGCTTCTTTTAGGATGGTACAGGAGGATAATTTCTGGAGTTCATTTTATTGGATCCACTGATCCATTAGTGTCCAACTGGAAAATAAGCAGGAAATATCCTGGGGCTTATTGCTTTGGGGTCAGCTGACCCATTGAAGTGGGGGATGAGGTGCCAGTCAGGCACAAGTTCCTTTTGTGTTACTTAACTCTGGCTAAGGCTTGGGATTTTAAATGACAAAGCTTAGGGAAAATGTTCTTGGACTTACATTTCACATCCTTCCAGGAGAAGATGACAAATCAAGCACTCGAAATGACATTTTGGGACATTTTATTGTATTGCCACAAGAATTCTCTGGTTGCAATTGTTTCTCTGTAGGCAAGATTCTTTTGGTATTGGTATTTACTTTTTTATTTTTTTATTTTTTTCCCTTGGGTCATCACTGGTCCATGTGGCAAATAAAATCACATCATTTTTTTTCCCCAATTTTCCAACTGGAAAGCTTGAGTTACATTTATTTTTTCAGCAATTTAGATATTATTTTCTTCCCTGGGTCATACTCAGATTTTGGACTAAGTATTGTGCTTTGTTGCTCCCTGAAGTCTCCAAGCATTTGCCCAATCAAGGACCTAGGAATTAAACCAAAGACTCTGTGTCTAATAGAAAAAAAAAAGTAGGCCCTAATCTTCATCATGTGGGATTAAGCCCCAAATTCCTTAATAAGACTCCTATAGTGCAAGAATTAAAT